TGTATTATTATTTTGAAAACAACCTGCAAAAATAGTTTCGCTCATTCAGAACTTTTCATTCACTCAACTATGATTAATACCATTCCTATCCTAAAATCGTTTCATTTCACGGTCGGCGCTCTCACTCACTGACAAATTGATTTAACTGAAAGTGCTAGGGGAACAGCTGCTTTCGATTGTTTGTGTTGCTAACTTGCAGAATTATAAAATTATTTATATATATTTTTAAAAAACTTGCTGCTATGGAACCAACTCATTGGAGAGGTCATTAAAAGTTGCCAAGAAACTTGATCATTGAACAGACCAAAGTTCAATTTTGCTCGCTGTCTTCCTCTTCAAAGCGTCAGTTCTAATCTGAAAAAGACATCGGGGATCGTGGTTGGCCTCTCCTCATTTCTCACCTTCGACGTTGTCAAAATTCTACACGTGTGTATATTGTATATTATTGTCCTGGTCTCTCCTCCCAGTGGACCATAAAAGATCTCTGAACAACGTTCTTTGTTTACCTCTTTTGCTTTCTATCTTTCCAGTGAAAGCAGGATGCTGAAGTCCTTCATGCTGTTGTCAGGTGACCTTGAAGCTGTATTTGTCTTATCCCGTTTTCATTTGTAACCACCCCAAGCTGGTTTCTTTCAGCTCCCTCTTGTTTGATATCTCTTTTATTCCATGAAATTCCTCGGTCTCCCAAGAAACTGTGATAAATATTTGTATTGCATCTGGTTTATTTTCATTATCTTAAGAAGTTGTTCAGTATTCACAGCTGTATGGAAAGGCTCACCACCAACACACAGCTATAAAATAGGATTTTCAAAATCCATATTTTCGTCATCATTGAGATGTTTCTGTCATGTTGGAGAGTCTTGCACTAAGCTCTTTATCTCACTCATAATTTCAAGTCTAAATAAAGTTTCTAAAGACCTCAGCGCAAGACCCCTCCAATATCAGCATAACAATGACTGTTCAGACCAAGGAAGGCAAGTGTGAACAATAGACAATAGCTGATCGAGTTGAATTTCAGTCTATTAGACGGGGGGGAAGGGGGGGGGGGGGTTGATTGATTTTTAAAAAAGCACCTTGATATCATGATAATATTACATGGTACCATATGGTGCTGTAAAATAGCAAGACAAGTCAATCACAGTGGGGGTCAGTAGCTTATCTATTTATAATAAGGGTCACATATTCGTCAGCAAGAACATTTCCGGCACTCTCCATTCACAAGACACTGGAAAGACTCTTTAACTTTAAATTATTGTTCACAAAGTTGTCAACACATACAGACAGGGCAGACAAATCATAAAGTAACTTTGGAAAAAAGTCATGGTAACAAGATTTTTTAAAAATCCCGCTGTAATGAAAAACAAACACTTCTAAGATCACTGGTAGTAAACAGATCACACTATAACGAAAAGCAGCATCAAAAAGAAATAAGTAATCAAAACATGTAACATAATTATGTAGATCTTATCGTGTGTAACAAAAAACATCAGTGGTAGTAGATGTGCCGGTAGATCTTAGCATAAACAGTAGCTAATTAAGTATTAAATTTAAAAAAAATTAATGTAGGCGTTTTTACGCCATCCCATCGACACATTTTAGACCATTTAAGAGGTGGGCTTTTACACTGACTATCAGGGCAACCTGGGCAGAGAGGGAAACATTGTCCGCCACAAAAAAATCAGAGATGCTTGATTAAAATTCTCCCCACTCTGGAATCGAACTGGTTTCGTTAAGAGTCTTTTATTCACCATTTGAAACAACAAAAGACAAAACTTTAGACATATTGTTGTGTTATGGTACAGTATTGCTGGATTCACATTCTGTAGATGGAAATTAAAAAGTTTCCAGCTTTAAAATTGCAAGCAGGATAATTCCAAAGTGAGACAGCCCACAAATAATCTTGTACTTCCACAATTCCTCAGTAATAAAGAGATACACAACGTAAAAATCATGGAATGCCTCAGACAAGATTGTAACTATTCATAAAAAGTAAAACACACTAGGATTTTAGGAATGACTTTCTGTATCAACAAATTTGTAAAACCAACTAATAAAATAAGGGGTGAAATGAAACTCATTAAATCAATTCAAAACAAAAATGAATATCTGTAGAAAAAGTAGTGTAAGAGCCTCAGGAACTGAAGGCAGCCACATCAAAAGAAAAACACCAGGTAAAACTTCATACATAATCAATGAACCAGAGAACCTAGGTCACCAGCAGTGAATTATGAGATATGTCAAGTGAGTAGTTAGCACTGGCAAAGAACTGAGTTGCTATAAACTAATTCAGAAGCTTGCAAACAAAACATTTTGAAAAACGTGGATTAAGTTACAACCATACAGTAAAAGAGATATAATTTATATAAATACACTTTTGAGAAATAAAAATTCCTGATTACATTAAACACTTGGTATGCCATTTTTTAAAAAAAATCTTGTGTTTTTATACAATGTATAAATACATTTGAAGAGCTCAGGGGAAAAAGCGACGGTAGTCACAAACTGGAAATTTTGAGGGTGCCAATTTTAAAAGCTTGTGGACTCATAACTTGATATTTGCTTGACTGGTGGTTTATTGTTAAGTGTTGTTGAATGGGAAATCTAACCACACTAATCAACGAACAGTTGGACAAAAATACAGTTATGAGTCAACACGCGATCAAAATTGGTACCCTCACGATTTTCAGTTTGTGTCTACCTTCGATTTTCCTCTGTAGTCTTCATGTAATAAACAACCCAATTAAATATTTCTTGAAACAGATTTCAACGGTGTCAGACATAAGTCCAAGCATTCACTGTACATGAGCCAGCTTTTTGTCAATGTCATGTAACAGTAACAGCTCACCACAGTACTTCGAAAATTCAGCACCTTTGTCAGTAAACAATATTTCTTACTGGGAATAAATCAAGAGATCAATCAACAAACAAATGTTTACATTTTCAAAAACCAAGGATGAGAACTGAAAAAATTCAAGACACAGGGCTATAAAGTGATCCCAAGATCAAGCCAACAGTCAAAGAAAAAAGTAACTAATAAGTCATATTACTGCTGTGGTTTGATGTAAGGACCATGATTTGTGAGACAAAGTCCTTTCAGCTCAATGTGTTGACTTGATCTCTGATTGTATATATATCAGTTAGGTCGCCTTAGGTTATATTTCTATAGCAAAAGGAAATATTCACTTTCTGCCTAAGCTTGCAAGAGAGCGAGCAAGGCTTGTGAATGGCATTTTCAGTCAGAGGTATACAATTTGATTGTTACACATAGCTGGGCAGAAAACCGAAAGCTCAACAAATGCAGGAATGGCAACAGGAACAAACTGTAAAGTTGTGGTATTATATACATGTATAGTCATGGCCTAGTGGTTAAGCTGCCAGATTCACAACCTTCAGGTCACAGGCACAACATGGCAACTGTGGGAAAAACTTTGCGCAAATTTTCCTCTCTTCACCCAGGCAGGACAGGGCATCCAGCTTAGACTGAGATCTAGTTGGAATATCAGTGTCTGAGCCCTTGGAAAATATGAGCCGGCGTTGAATGCTTCTCAGGAAGATTAGAATATCTTGGAACATTATAGTGTCTGTTGGGATAACAATTATCAAGTGCATGGAGCCCAATTCTGAGAAATGATACTCACTATACAAATGCAATCTGTTAAAATCATCATCATCATTATTACAAGGAATGTATACAGAGCTCAAAGTCCAAAGCAACATAATCATAAATAGAGACTATAGTCAATTGACACACACCACAACAAACTTTTACAGACTAGCAACACACACGTATGTCTATGGATTAGAAACCTGCTTTAAAAAAAAGGGAGAGGACATCCAAAGTCACAATTCAATAAAGTATAAACTCTAGGTAGCACTTTTTCAAACCACTAAGTGTCTCCTTTCAGAGTATTACTTACACTGAAAGAAAATAAAAAGCTATGCTTCAATATTAACTGTGATACCACTGTAGCAAACTAAACAAACAATGCACTAAGCTATATTGACTGCTTAGTGTAAGACTCCGTCATATATCACTTTTCAAAAGGGCCTATAGTGGAGTCTTACATAAAGCAGTCAATATAATGACTCATACCTATGCAAATATACCTACATACGAAGAAGGGAAAACGCACAAACATGTGACCATCACTCATCGGACGGAAAAATCAAACATATGAACCAGAGGTACCGGTATTACAAAAGCTAAAACTTCAGAGAACAGCAAACAAACAAGAGATTGTCAAGAGAAAATGTATGGCATCTGTGGCACAGCAAAACATGACGAATGAACACGAACTATTGTGAGACTTGATGGTTGTCGGCAAGACAGGCACAACGGTAACAGTGTATAGATTCCCAACATTGATTAGAGATCAATCATACGTTCATCGGAAAAGAATTCAAAGATGCACCAACCTTTTCATGGCAAGCACCATTGTCTATGTTTGAGGATTTTTCATTCATAACCACACTTCAAAATCAAACAAATCAAAGTTTTTTTTTCATAAACCCGTTTTTCCTAAGCAGATCTAGACATACGTGCAAAGCAACAAGAAGCAGCCATTTTGTTTAAAAATGATGATTTCCAGATTTTTTGTATCTCGTGGATAAGAATGAGATTTTGAAGCCCTCATTTTTAGGCAAAAGGTTGCATCATATATACAGTGATATAAGATATATTGAGGAATAATGATAAATACCGTTTGCTGAGTTTTAGAGCAACAATCTCCTTTCCTTGAACTCTTCAAAAAGTATTTAGCTTCCACTTCTTTGACTCAGATACCCTATGCAGACTATATTTGAATACAATGAACTGAGATTTTTCTCAATCTTGGGGTACTTGAAGAATACTCCATACTCAGTTTGGTAAAAGAAAATACATCTGATGGACAAAACACTGACAATCTGAAAAAACCTTTTTAAAGTTCTAGTAATAGCACTTGCAACACAAATTGGTCACATAAGTGCAGAAGATTAGAGTTGTTACTAGAGAGTAACATACAAAGAAAAGAAGGAACAGATATAAGGAGGATGAAAGATGTTTGACAGCAAAAAAGGAGCAAACCACACAAGAGTACCTGTCAACTGCCGACTGAATGATACCTTGTAATCCCCAAACAGGTTCATAACAAAAAATATCACTGCATTAATATTTGAATAAACCAACAATAAAAACAACAACTAGAACCACAATAATACAAACTGTATACATCTGTGAGTTATGCTGAGCAATATAAGTCTTCATTTTAAAATGAATCCCTGACCAAGTAGAAAATCTCCTTTCTCATTTCAACTTCAGTTTAGCAAATTGCGAAATGTCTAAAGATCCATTTAAACAATAGCATCAATATTCAAGAAGTAACACCCTAGTTTTAACGTTGATCTGCAATAAGAACGGGCTAAATTCAGATAGCTATGAAAATTTCCTTAAAAAAATCCTATGAACTTCTGCAAGGATCAAACCCATAACCCCTGGACTAGGAGGATAGTGCTCAATCACTACACCATGTTGACCCGCATCCTATTGTCATTTGACTGCAGAATCAAGAACAAAATAAAAACAGTTGAACCTGCCCTAAAAGGCACCTGTATAAGAAAAACACCTGTACAAACAGCCACTTCCCATTTCCCTCCTTGCGTATTTAAAAATATTATTACAATGACACTGTGACGAAGTGTAAGACGGCCACCTGTCTTATACGATCACTTTTCTCTGTGACAACAGGTGGCCGACTTAGTTTCAACTGTATATATACAAAGGTTACTGTTATTTGTACAATAAGTCCTACTTTCCCTAGACTCAGAGATTGTCTGGTCGTCTCCGCCGAGAGATTTCATCAGCCTCTGTGGTCATCCAGCGAACCAACAAGAAGGTCAAAACCATGCCGGCAATCTGAAGTATGAAAGAAAGGAGGGGGGTGTTGACAGGGCAGAAAGACAATACTGTAATAACTGCAATGTTAAAGAGAAAAAAAAGTGAAATGTAAAGTGTCGCCAAGAACAGGCATAATAATACAGTACCAGTACAGCCTAATGAGCAAAACAACAACAGATGCACTAAACTTGAAAAAAAAACAACCCAAGCAAAAGTCAAACCCCAATATAACTCCAGTCCTGCTTACCGCCTGGTTTTGCCAATTAAATGCACAAAAAGGAATACTTAGTAGATTTAAAAAATCAATTTCAAAGACCCAAATCTTCGAAACACTAAAACGACTATGCACCCAACATGCATATTGGCGTGGCCTAGGGAGGCATAATTCATGTAGCACTTTACCTGAACTGTCCAACTTTCTTTATCTCCCCTTGATATTGCCTGAAATTCATACATAACATAAAAGTTTCCACGTCTTGCCGACTTCACTATGTGCATGCTAGACTGTACGTGAACTATCAAATCTGCACCCTGACATTGACTGCTCCTTGTAAGACTCCGTCCTAAGTCACTTTTCAAAATAACGTATGGCAGAGTCTTAAATTAAGAGTCGATATGTCTAATACCACTCACCATGATGAATCCAAAGACAAATCCTATAGCCACAATGATGTCAGACTGATTCAAGACAAGTGCTTTGGCCTTCTCGTAGCAGCCCTGAAACAAACAAAATTCCTCCTTGATAATGTATTTTTTAAAAATAGGCTATTGAACTTGACCAAGACCGCTACCCATTGTTTTTGCAACACAAACCGATTATGTAAATACCAAATATTAAAAGTGTTACTAAAGAGTAACATATCAAGAAATAAAGGAGGAGAGATAAGGAATATAGATGTCTGCATAGCTGCCACTCAGGAATTTCAAAAAAGGAGGAAATTCATGCGAAGGCGTACGCGCTCTCTCCGAAAGCCGGAGTAAAACCAGTGAAATCCAGATCCAATATATAGGAACTTCTGTGTTTTTGGTAGGGAAAAGTGTCATATATGTTAACTATAGGCAACTGAATTGAAATGCATTTGCAAAAAAAAAACAACCCCAAAAAACAATCAAAGACACTAAGTTGACTAAAAAGCATTTGACCCGGTTTGGGGACTAAAAATCCAGTGTTTGCAATCTAGTGTCTCATAAAAAGATTTCTTTCACTTTAGACTGAGCAACAATGTTGAGCAGTATTGGATTAAAGAGGCAACACCTTTGCCACTGTAGTACAAAATTGCCTTTCTTGTTAATTGTTTACTTTCTCGCGTTTAATTCCGGGGGAGGACTTCGTAGCGAGCGACCACTTTGAACTCTATGAATGTTTTACTCAACGAGTCCCTTTACTCAATGGCCATCAAAATCAGTACGGAAGGACGAAAGCCAGTATGTTACTAGAACTAAATCTAGATCTCTACCTACAAAGGATGAAATTGCCGTAGTTTACGTATTTTTAACTCCAGCGCAAAGTGTTGAATATCCTGTCGGGGATGCATAGAGTTTCGTCTTTATCTAGATATCTAGATCTAGATCTAGATAATCTAGGCGCGGCCGGAATTAAACGCGAGAAAGTACAGTGGAAACCATATATAACAGGCCCGGTAATAACAGGGATCCGGTAATAACAGGGATTTTTTAAATCCCCGTTTTTTCATACTCTTTGTCTCTATTAAAAGTTATCGGCAATAACAGGGCCTCATCGCACCCAACCGGTTATAGCAGGGACAAAGGCTCATTACAATGAGTAAAGAGAGAGAGAGAGAGAGAGAGAGAGAGC